AACTCGTTGCTATAAAGTTGTATGGCGTTACATACACACAAATTAATTTTTCTCCCGATTTATTAAAATGCATTACCCATAAATAAATATATGAACTACATAAATGCAATCGTATATCGTTACACATAAAAAGCACAGATGCACAAAGATGAAGTAAATTTATATAACATATGTATATATATATATATATATGCCGAAGTAGCACGCAACATCAAACTAAACCCAACTGAACTGGAATATTATGCTTCAGGCTGGAGTCTGCCTTTCTGTGAATCACGCTTAATGCAATTACAATAATAATAACAACAAAAAACAACGGTCTATAAATAAATACAACACGTGTCCCTGTTACGTTGCTTGCTTGCGTATAATTTCGCTCACTCACTTCATGCACATAAAGAAACTTACCTTGAAAGATTTTGATAACAAAATTTCCACGATAATGACGATGGAGAATTTATTTTCCCTTAAAATAAAAGCAAAAATTTTGCAATTTTAAAAATATTTTTGTTTAAAAAAAAAATAAATAAATAAAACTTAAAATTAAAAACAAAAAAAATTATCTGTTATAACTGTTTTATTTTATTATTTTGTTTTGCTATATATTCGAGACATACAAAGGTAAAATCAAAAATTATTATTATTTACACAGGCGTATAGAGAACGAGTAAAAAACGAAACAAGAAAAAAAAAAAAACAATGTCACAAAGAACAACAAAATAATATACACAGTTGTAATTGTTTTTAAATTTTTTTTTTTTCTAAGATTTCTTTAAATTTTTTTTTTTTTTTATTCTCCTTCTTTTTTTTTTGTTTTGACAAAAAGAAAAGACAAAACAGAAGACGAAAAACTTGTTGCTATCAGTTTTAGACAAAAACCAACACTAAACGCTTCAAACAACAAAATGCAACTGCAAAGTTTTTAAACCAAACAATTTTTTAGCATTGAAGCGTAGTAGAAGGTGAAGAAGAGGAAAAAGAAAAAAACAAAAAAAGAAAGAAACTATAAAAGAAATACCATAACCAACCAACCAGCAAAACAAACAAACAAACAAACAAACAGACAAGCAAACAAACTTTTAAAAAACGCATTCGTGGTAAACAGTAACACAGCACACTAACAACAACAATAGCAGCATTTACAAATTATAACAATATAATCATGCATACACACAAACATATACATCTGAATACATATCTTAAGGTTTTAACTTAACTTGGTATAAAGCATTAACGTAGCGATTAAGGCTATGAAATGGAAAAAATTTGATATTTCTTGCCAAAGAGACTCAAGATATAAAAAACAAAAAACAAATACAAAATAAAAAACATTAAAAGGGCTGATTTGAACGATCAGACATGCTTATATTTGTTTACTTATGCAAGTAATATATATCTCAACACACTATTACACCATTTATATCATATTTGTCACGTGAATTAATTTCCTTTGTTGTTTCTAAATAACACCACATAACAGTCATAGCTGCATATTTGCCGGCGGTTCTATAATGCATCAATAATCCCATAATATAGGCTTCCGAACATTTTACTTTTGTTTACTCTTTTTTTTTTTTTTTTTTTTGCTATTTATTTATGTAATGATGCTCAGCTACTGTCAGGTACACAATCAACAGGTTTACAAAATCTTTACTAAATAACTTCAAATGTGAACAACGAATTTCAACTTTCGAGCACCGAACAGAAATAATAGAATTGCTATCAAATTTAGACAAGAACACAAGTAAAAACATTATAATCGGCCAGAGCGCATCATTCAATCCTCTACATCACTTCGCTTAATACAGTACATACAATATCGACTAATTTTCATGGCAACACAACAAAAAATTTTTTTCATAAAAGACCTTAGAGTCGAAGGTGCCCCGAACGTGGACCCTGACATGATCTAAATTTAGCAAATCTAATTTACTTAATAAAGATTTTATAATTTTTTACTTACTGTTTGCTTCGTAAAAAAGTAAAGGTTACCCTTTGTCGCCTCATAAGGACTTACTTTTCCCGATGAACCATATATACGTACATACCTTGTAGGTACTTGCGTCGATGAATTTCAAAAACTGGAATCTTTTTCAAAATAAAGCGTTACATGAACATTGGTCGAGAAAGTGGTCCGATGTATACTGTTTCCAATAGAGGTCGTCCTTGGGACAAAACACGCTCGTGCACTAAATTTCATCAAAATATGACGAAAACTGCAGCATATAGGATGAACACACAACATATATATATGTATTTATATGTATATATATATATATAAGGACAGACGGACAGGCAAGCTTAGTATAATAAAGTGGCGTTCTATCTCAAATCCTTCTAGGCGTGCATCAAGTACACAAGTAGTGTAGAGTACAATAAATAAGCAAACAAGCCTGTGCTCGCACGTTAACGGCCATTGAACAGACGCGTGATGTGCATATAGACTGAAGTTGTGCAATTAGATCGCCGCAAAAATGCCACTTAGGCGGGTGATTCCGAAATTAAAACGCAGTCTCATATATATAGTTAATGTACTTTCGACAAAGCAAGCAAAATGTCTTACCCAGCTCCTAATTATTCTTTCACTGGTGAACTGCAACATTGAGCATTAAAGATGAAATAAGATATGTAAAAGAGATCTAGGCTTTATTGGAGAGCGAGGGAGAGAGAGAATAAATCAACATTTTTAGGCCAATGTTGATAGGAGGGTGACAAGTACCTTTGACAGTTCGTTTCTTTATCCGTAGCAATTTCCATTGAAATTGTAACTAAAAATAAAAATTCATGCATTTAAGAGTTAAACCTTGTAGGGGTATTGGTCGCTGTATCGGATGCTCTCCGTTTGACTATTAAAGGTAGAGTGATACGCCAATCATTGAAGCCCAATAAGTTGTAAGTAATTCAATAAGTTGTATGTAATTCCATCAACGGCCTTACAAAATTCTGTATAATGTACATTAGCTGGGGACTCAATCATAACTCGAGTATATTATTCGACAGCATTTTTGCGGTCGAAAGGTGTTTTAGTCGATAGTATCGACAGTTCTACACTCTCTACTCGGCACAGCGAGTTAGGGAGTGTTACATAATCCAAAGCTATGTGATGTACTCGGCATTGAGACCAATAAATTGCTCCTAGTTTAACAATTGAAAGAAGGAATCCCTCAGGAAAGCTCCTGCTGTATAACTTTCAATGGCTGTTACTGTGCATTGTTCACTAATTACTGAGAAGAGAGATAAGCTAAATGTTCTTTTGTCAATCTTGTCAATCTTGTCCGCTAACATTACTTTTTTTCTCCAAGACTTCTATCTCGTGAAAATGTTTGAGATCTTGAAAAGTTTAGCTTTCCGAATACTTTTGATTGTCAGTCTCTGCGCATTGCAGTACTGTCTTTATCTTTCGTGTGGTTGTGAGGACATTTTTTATATTACGAAAGCTTTAGTTTTATTTTTCTGTGTTAGTAATTGCGCTTGTCTTTAAAAGTCCACTACTGAAGTTTAAGTGTTTAACTTAGTTGTTCCACCTTTGCAACTCGGACACGAAAATTTTTCGAACTTTTGTTATTTAGTTTAAGCACGAAAGGTCCCTAATTTTAATAAACTTCCTTATCAACGTTCTCATATACATTTTAATAGCCATAGCCACACATAAATGTAGTGAGCTATAGCAACTAGGATTAATTTTCCTCATCTTGGGTACAAACAACTTTAATAAATCCACCATAACCAATAAAACCCGTGATACCATAAAATCAATGCTATTTATGTCTACGCTCATGTAAACGTGTATGTCTGGGGATAGGTTTGGGGATAGATTTGCACCCGAAACTGCCAGAATTACTACTAACTTCTATACCTTCTGTATATATTAAAATTTTCCTAAGGAGAAATATTTCTCAAAACGAAGACGTAGAATGAAAGAAATTAAATCAATGATAAGACAAAATAACAGCTAATAAAAAGAGTTCAATGATCTTATTTAGTTGCGAAAATTTTTTATTAACATTTACTAAGACATATTATTATAAAATGCATCACTTTATCCGCTTTATCAGCTACACTAACCCGTATTTATAAAAAAAAAAAAAGATACACAGCTTGTACCCATATTTACATTTTAATATTCTTACTCGATGAAGTCGAAGACAACGATAACATTACCTAAAGAATTGTAATTTCAAATTCATTCATTCATGTAATCATATATACATTAACTGATAATTAACAATAACAAAGGAAAGAAGCAAAACAACTTGTTGGAAATCCGATGCTATTTGCACTTGTTTTTTAACAAGCATAACCTATAAAAATATAAACATAAAAGTGTCTATTTATGAATGCAAGCACGTTTTGATATAGCCGGTGTTTAGAAACATGTTTCTTAAAGTAAGATGGAAGGATAATCGCAACCAGATTTAGAGGTGGAGTGCTAGCACTTATATATATTTACCTGTTTCTCATAGAAAATATAGCGTTCGTTAATAGCGCATAGCATTTAAAAAGTTCAAATGTGTTTTGTAGCGTAACGCAATTTTAACTTTTGTAAATACCAACACGTACTTACATGTGCGCAAAGAGTACAACAATAATCAACTTTTTCTAAGTTCAATTAATTGCTTAACGTTATGTTTTAATATCTAGTGAAAGGGATTAATGTTAATGTGTCAAAAAAACAAAAATAATCATAGTAAAAATAAAAAAAAGTATTTTTTTCAAAATTTTTCTGGCCGACTTTTTATGAAAAAATTTTTTATGTGGTTCGTTTACTGAAATCAATTAGTATAATATATGTTTTAAGTCTTCAGAAAGCCGACAGCCATTTACTAGGCTCCATTAGAAAGTAACTTGCATTACTCTTTCGAAGTCCGCCATTTGAATTTATTATTTTACCATTTATCTTTTTGTACTCATTTGTAGTCTTGCACGAGCGGGTTGTTAACTTCTCCACTGTTTGTTGTTTCGTTTATTTTAGTCATTCCTGGCAATGCCATAATTGATTACTATGCACATTTCATACTGTCAAATCCCAATATATGGAAAAAATAAAGCAGCTAGAAATTTGCTGTGTTGTGTTATTGAAGTAAATTATATTGGAAATATATATCAAATATATCGAATTTTTGAGAATTTTCTTTGCAACATTAGGTAAAAATAAACTAATTTTAAGTCATGATTGCTGATTGAATTTGTCTTTTTCAATTCAGAGAAATGGATCGTTTATTACGTTTGGGCGGTGCTATGCCGCAAGCTCCACCACCAACAGATGCTCCTGTCGTAGATACCGCTGAACAAGTTTACATCTCGTCACTGGCTTTATTAAAAATGCTTAAACATGGTCGTGCTGGAGTGCCTATGGAAGTAATGGGTTTAATGTTGGGCGAATTCGTCGATGATTATACGGTGCAAGTTGTAGATGTATTCGCGATGCCTCAGACTGGAACAGGAGTCTCAGTGGAAGCGGTAGATCCCGTCTTCCAAGCTAAAATGTTGGATATGTTAAAACAAACGGGACGCCCTGAAATGGTAGTAGGATGGTACCATTCACATCCCGGTTTCGGTTGTTGGTTATCCGGAGTAGATATTAACACACAACAATCATTTGAGGCACTTTCCGAAAGAGCTGTGGCTGTCGTCGTTGATCCCATACAGTCTGTTAAAGGTAAAGTGGTTATTGATGCTTTTCGTTTAATCAATCCCAATATGCTTGTATTGGGTCAAGAACCTCGTCAAACTACCTCCAATTTGGGACACCTGCAAAAACCTTCGGTACAGGCTTTAATACACGGCCTAAATCGTCATTACTATTCAATTAGTATTAATTACCGTAAAAATGAATTGGAGCAGAAAATGTTATTAAATTTGCACAAAAAATCATGGAAAGACGGTCTTACACTGGCCGATTATAACGAGCATTGCTCTATCAATGAGAGTACGGTACAAGAAATGCTTGAATTGGCTAAAAATTATAATAAGGTAATGTGCTAAATAGGTTATATTATGGGTAGAGGCCTTCATTTAAATGATATTTATGTTGCTTTTAAAGGCTCTAGAAGATGAAGAAAAAATGACTCCTGAACAGTTGGCTATTAAAAATGTTGGTAAACAGGATCCCAAACGACATTTGGAAGAGAAGGTTGATAAAGTTATGCAAAATAACATTGTTCAGTGTTTAGGTGCTATGCTGGATATAGGCTTTCATGCCAACAGTTGGTAAAGCACTCTATTCCAAGCCTGTTCAAATATCTCTTAAGGCACGTGAGACATCTAAAATACGATTGACGCTACTACTTAACAGAATACTTTGAAGTTTGCTTGTGTTAATACCAAAATACATACACTCAAAACCGACCCCAGTAGTTAAAAAAAGGAATAAAATTTCAATGCATTTTTATTAATAAGAAGGAAATAAATGCTCTTACCGCAATAAATAGAACTTGTTTATCACTTTATACATTTAAACCATTGATGTAAATTTTTCAAATTTTTCTTTAAATTGTAAAATATTCCGCATTGCTATAATTATATGCTGCTTACGCTACATACAGACCTAATCCCTTTTAATTAACTTTAAGTTGCCTTGCTGTAGCTGAAGGTTCGAAACGTTACTTTCGAAATCAATAAACAATAAAAGTAATGAAGATTTTCTGTTGAAAGTGAAAACAAAAAATGCACATATATTCCAATAGGTTTGTCATCTAAACAACATTAATAAAAGCATCAAAACTGCAATAGTAAAAACAAATTGTGGCTTTCAGTTTTTTTCGCTGAAGTTACGAGCTAAAATATTATTTAAAAAAAAAAAAAAAACGAAAAAATGGGAAACCTAATTAGAATTTTATACTTTTTTATAGCCAAAAAAATGCGATATAAGCCACCGACCATTTTTCCATTCAACCTGAAAAGAAAAGTTTATTTTGCCCTGCGAAGAATCACTTTGTTTTTTTGCTTGTAGCAAGTCATCGAATGTTATGAAATTGATTTTGGCCTGAGAACATACAACAACAATTGAACAAAAAAGGAAAATAGGTTGGAGAATATTGAAACGGCCAAGTATTGCTGGCAATAAAAAAACAGTAGATTTGATCAAAAAATTTGTTCAAAGTTGAAACCACAGTTATTCGAATATTGTCCTCTTAATCGCATATCACGTATTGTTGAAAAACGGGGAAAAATAAATGATGAATTATTAGTATGGGACGGTTCAAGTCCGTTAAAACGGTTACACATTATATCCTCTTCTTTCTCTTTCCTTTATATCTTTCTTTCTTCTCATTCCAACTCTCTGCACTCCAACGGTATCTCAAAATTTCCAAAAATCAAACGCCAGGTCTCTCAATATGAACAAAAACCACTCAGAATATGTTTGAGAAAAAATACATATGTACATTGATAGAAGTAAACGCAAGCTAAGACAAATTCTGCGCGAGAAATTTTTGAGCTACTATCGTTTTTGAATGAGAAAATCGTAAAAGAGCAAAACATAAAAAAGCGCTTCATATTTTTTTTACACTATAATATCGGGCATTTATTATCTAAATGTCTCAAACTCTCTTCATGTCATGTTTACCGAAGATTGCGTATAAGCTTCGTTTTAAAGCGTGCTTCTGACGGGTTCATTTCTGATGGTTGCTACATAACAATGTGGAAAACAAAAAAACAAATTTGAAAAGAAAGCAAATAACATTTTTTCATTTTATAACTTTGAAAATTTTTCGTAAATCGTCTCCTCGGCATACCAGATTATTATTATATAATTATTACACTCTGGCTTAAAAAGGAACAATGTAAACGGATGTGCAAGAATGGCAAAAGCTCATCTAGCATTTTTTACTCAGTACAGTAAATCAACAACAATGTGTCAACAACAGATGATGAAAAGAGAGCGAGTTCAGTTTAAAGGCGTTATTCGTTTGTTTAGTATTCCAGAAATTGGTTTTCAAATATTAAAATAAATAAAAAAATCAAGATGACAGATGGATTGAAACTTTTTTTAACAGTTCCCACAATTCAAGATGACCGCAGACGTAGCACTATAAAAGATCAATATTTTACAAAACCCCAACTTGTGTGCCTTATGAAAGAGGACTATGGAAAGTGTACAAAATTGCAATCAATGAGATATCTTCATTTACCCAAAGGCACTGTTTATCCTCTGAATTTATGCGAAGGTTACGATATCCACAAATTTCGCAAATCTTTCATGTACAAAAAACATTTGGAATTGGTTCTTGATTGGGCCATGTCGCCGAAAGGTAGACAATATGTTGAGGAATCTTTAGATAAAACTTTGGTATATATTCGCCGTGGATCTTTGGTCAAAATAATGTTATCTCCGCTTATGCCAAGCCATCCTCTGAATGACTGGAGTTTATTTGTTTCGCGTTATAATAAAAACTTATATATATGTTTAGACGAAGACGATGATTCAACAGCGGAAAAGACTACGGCTATGTACCATCATACCCGGCTTGATCAACTATTATTTTCTGAATCGCAACGTTTGCCTCCAAATACGACGAACCCATCGGACGACAACGTTCGTAACGTTTCTGTGCACACAAGTACTATGGGAAGATATAATTTTATTTACTCTGGCCAAGTGCAAGGCATAAAAGCAGAAGAAGAAATTAAAGATTTGGATGATGTGGAGGCTCTAAACGCCTGCGAATACGTAATGAGTAAGCAAATGTGGCAACGTCTTCCATATGATCGCAAGTCTTCAAAATTTTCGTCCTGGTGGTTGCACGCTTATCTTTCTAATTGTAAGTCTATATACGTAGCACTGAAAGTTCGGGATGGCATGGTTCAAGAACCAATCAAGCACGTTGTAGTCCGCTCAATACCACGCGATTACAATTTTATGCCAGGTCGTGTAATTGGCTTTTTCCATCATTTGCTTGAAATGATAGAAAATTTAATGTCAAAAATTGATAGTTTAGAGACGGTCTACGAGTTTCGCTTCAATAGTTTTGATAAAACTATTCGTTACAACGTTCACTCCAGCGATAGAAGCAAAATAATCATTTCCTCTGATTATATTAAATATTCCCGTTCGTGTGCTTAAGATAGTAAAAAATTAAAAAAGACAGAAAAACGCGCTCAATTGTTAAAGCGCAGTTTTATTTTTTAAATAAATTATAAGCCTTTTAAAGGAATGATACTTTAAAATGTTTAATATAATCTTTCAAGTAAGTTTGGTAGTTTCAAGACTGATTGGTCCAGCAAAATTATGGCAAGTTTTTTTTCAAACTATTTTAGGGCACGAGAAACATCTAAAATAGCAACATTAAGCTGTGTTTTAAAGTAATCTAAACTGAGTCCCCGAGGCGAATGCAGATTTTAAATGAAATTATTCCGGTGAAATCAAACTCCCAAACTAAGTAAATTTTAATGAAGTATTTCTCAAATATATTTACTTGCCTGCATTAATAATATACATCGATATTACCAATCCGCATCCTAATGACCTCATACTTTATTGCTAAATAAATAATATTATCGATAAAAAGTGTAAGTTTAGGATTATTATTATTATAATTTTTTTAGCTTAATGAAAAAATCTTGGGTTCAACTAGGTTTAGTCAACTATCTAAAGTTAACTTTCGTTCACGACGAAGCCAATAACTGATAAACGTTTTTGGCCCAATCGCGTAAAACTTTCGCGAGTTCGTCATTTTAGTTTCCATCATTCATATGTAAATGAAAAAGAAGCGAAATTGTAGTTTATAATGAATTGTGGCTGTCAAAATCCAAAAAATAACAGCTGTTTCTGATAAAATAACAGCTGCTCTGATAAATAAACTAACAAACCAATTATTAGTGAACGAATATTTTGTAGATAAATTGGAAGGAAAACGAAGAAATACATTTTTCCAAAATTATCAATTAATTGTAAGAAAAAAGTATGTAAGTAAAGCGGTTTTTAGCACAGTTTTTAAATTAACGAAGCTAATAATTGTATTATTTCGAGTTGCATAAATTTAATCATTATCCTTGCCAGTTATTAGCGGTTCTAGTCAGATTTTATATTTTCTTGTACAATTCTTTGCTTATGAGCTTTTAAATTTCATGTTAATAAAATTGTTCCAAGGGACAAATGTAAGTATTTTTTACTATTCGATGCACAATAGAATAATCCGCTGTAGTTAATTGTGGAGGATTCTGCGCTGGCGCAGAACTGCAGCCAAACCTGTACAGGTATAGATTTTATGAGGGAATTTGTTTATCGCTTTAACAGATTTTGTGAAGGAATTTATTGAAGGAGACTCTGTGCAGTCGGCACACATGGTATTTTTTTTTATAAACCATGTAAAAGAAAAAACCAGTTAACGGCTTTTAGCGAAAAATCAAAGCCATTTTACAAGTGCACAAAGAAGTTGTAAAAAGTGAATAATTGCTAACAAAAAAATTAAAAAGGTTAAAAATTAGAAGAAGAAGTTTACATAATAGTGGAGTAAGAAAAAACCTAAAAAATTATAAAATTATAAAAAAGAAATTTAGTGTATTAAAATACTTTAGAAAAAAAAAAAAAGGTTTATTAAAAAGTCTTATTTATATTATAATGGATTCTTAGAATAAATCCTAAGTCTTATTTATATTACATGCTTTTTATATGTGTATACGTTTGGGAAAATCTACATCCATACGTTTAGGAAATACTATAATCCAGATACTGAAAAGTTCTTACCGATTGTACGTCAAAATGCATCACGACGAGGCAATATAACTGAACGTCTCATAATATATAATCGGTAACAGACTATCCTGCACAAGTGTCGTTTGTATATATTTTGATAAGTTTTAATAGCAGACGGAGGATGAATTGATCGAAAATATATACATACGTATTTATATAGCCTATATTGGAGAGCACCATCAAAGAATGGAACGAGGAGACACCTTTCATCATTGTTTAAAAAAATTATCTTTATTTAAAATGAAAAAGCATTTAACAAACTTAATCCAAGACTAAAAAATTTGAATAGCAAATCACGATAAAAAATCGTAAAAGCGAAATGAAAAAGGAAAGACATAAGCATGCCACACCTGAGCATAAGCAGGACAGAAGGGCACGAATAAAATTTAAAAATTAAAAAAAAGAATTAAATAAAAAATTTTAAAAAAATGTTCGAAGCAACCACTTCGAGTAAATGAAGAAATTACCTACGATTACAAGTTCCCTTTGGAGGATCAGAAGATTCGTGTTTATGCGGGTTGTCGAGGAACTCTGAACTAAAACTAACTGCTGCTTATTATTACGTTTTACCTCTCTCATATATCTTATGATTTTATTTTTTATTCTTTTTCTGTTGTATTACAACCTATTAACCTAACGCAGCCGTACTTAATGAATTGAGAACGAATATGAGCTTATTCTCTAAAGCGGCATAATATATGCAAAGAAATTTATTCAAACATTCTCAATTGTAAACAATTTTTATTTTCTCAATTGTATGGAATTTCTAAACAAATTATTGAGTACGAATATACACATTAATCTCGTATATAAGTACGTGATGAACCGTTTTTCTCTAATAAATCGTAAACAATGTCATTCCTAGCATGGTTAGATAATAAGTTAACTTCTTTTTTTCTTAGAAACAAGTTTATCTCGTCAGAAGACAATCGCAAGGTCTCCTATGCTTCCACGGTTATTGCGAGAAGCACTTCTAACATCTTTGCTGTACGATGTGGATATAAGAATGTGGACCTGTATACCTGTACCAATGGCCGTGAAAAGTTTGAAAAGTTGATTCTTTATAATTATTTAATTCAAATAAGTGATATTTTTGAAACTATGGAAAATAATACTTATTTCGAACTTAATACCGGAAAAGAATACTTATTTCGAACTTAATACTGGAAAAAATTCTTATTTCGAACTTAATACTGGAAAAGAATGCTTATTTCAAACTTTATGCTGGAAGAGAATATTTATTTCGAACTTAATATTGAGTTTGGGGAAATTGAAGGAATTCAACCAACCAAAAAAAAGCAAGAATATAACAATTCCTAAATTTTGTACTAAAATTTCTTTTTACTAACCTTTTAGGGTATTCCTTGCTTTTTTTCTTGAACGGATGATTTCGCTTAATAATACTGCGACTACTCTACAGACTACAAAAAACGTTACACAAATAGAGCTAGAGCAGGCCATTATGTATTTCTATTTCTATTATGCTAACAAAGTACCGCGAATTCATTGCCATAGAGCTGTACGGTGAAATTGAGCATTACGAAAGCTCTGCAGAGAGGAAAGCATATAACAGTCGAACGGAACAAAGTCTAGATTAAACATTGGATGTATCAAAATTTCCCAGCCAATCTCTTTCAGCTTTTGGCAATTTCGTCACGGCTGAAATATTGCGGCATCTTTCCTACTGATTAATTCTCCAAGTACGTTTGGATAACATCCTTATTCCGCCATTGCCGTTTGTGAACTGTCGTACCGACGATCGTAGTGATGGTATTTCCTTATCACAATTTTGCCCAAAAACAGGATTATTAGTTTATAAGGATCACAAATAGAAATGAAAAAAGGACGTGGCTTTACAAATGGGAGAAAATTGAAGATAAACTCTTAATATATTATTTTAATATTCTAGTTCTTATCCTTCAAATGTTTTAGCAATCTTCTGCACTGCAATCTAATAAAGTTGATCAATAAATAATAAATGAATAAGAAAAATAGTGTTTTATGCGCAAAACTTTCCCAATTTTTCAAAAACTTGGGTACAACTTTCTTTTTATAGTTTCTTTCAATTTAAAATAATATATCTTTACATCGCTGCACAGTACTTCAATGCACTGGTTTTTAAAAATCAAAGGTGAGTGCAAAATATATTTCCCGATTATTTGCAACCAAATCTCTGTCTTTCAGCAAAGAAATTTTAGTGGTCCCTCATTTACTTCTCCTTTAAATTGCCAGAATTCGAAGTTCAAATACATTGCAACAAGTTGTAATTATTGCTCGCTTGTTTACTTCTCCTTTAATTTGTCAGAATTCGAAGATAGATTGTTTGCTTCTCCTTTACTTTGCCAGAATTCGAAGATAGATTGCTTACTTCTCATTGCTGGCATACTGGTTTGCCCTGAAAACTTGCAAAAGCTTTTTGAATTATTATTGAAAGAAAATTAGTTTAATAAAATTAATTTAAAATATAGTAAAAATATATTTGAATATTGTAAAAACGCCATGAACTTTATTCTTGAACTATTGTTTTCATCATGTAACATGTACAGCAAGCAGCTGATAACAACTATTGGAACAATATGATTTCGACACACTACCCCTTGATTTGTTAACCGACAAGTTCGCGCATTCGTGTGATAAATTAACTAGAACTTTTTTGCAAATCCTGAAAATACAAAATTAAGTTTAACGATTAGCAAAATGGATGCAATTAGTCGGAAACATGTACCTTTAATTTGTATAATCTTATTCTTTGGTTTTTCTCTGCTAACAGCTGAAAAAGAAATACCAGTGACAAAATTCGGACAGAATGTTGGCGGACCAACAATGACATTTTTATATTGGTATTGTATCCTCCTATAATCTTTCTGATATTTCTAAAAACAATTTTCTTTCATATTTAGTTATTCTTGCGGTTATCGAAAGGCCTTTGATGACTATGTGAACATATTATCAGAGAAATATCCGCAAATCAAAGTGACTGGTGGTAATTATAATCCACCTGGGATGAATATGTATTTCTCGAAAATGATATTTGCGATTAAAATTTTACTGATAGTTGTCATTGTGTCGTCATATGACATTTTTGGAGCTTTAGGACAACAAACGCCTAGCTGGTGGCGTCATTTAGTAGATAACAAACTATATGCCTGCATGATGATATTCTTTGTGGGTAATATGCTTGAGGGTCAGGTTAGTAAAGCGAAACATTCAAAGTAACCCCTAATAATGTGTTTGATTTAAACATATTTCAGTTGGTTTCCTCTGGTGCTTTTGAAATTACACTTAACGATGTGCCGGTATGGTCGAAGTTGCAAACCGGGCGTATACCGGTGCCACAGGAACTATTTCAGATTATTGATAATCAATTGCAATTTGGCGATAAAATTCAAGAGAATCCAGACTTTGTTAAATAATAGAGCTTAAATCAATTTTCCTTTCTATTCCCTTTAATTTACTACGTCGTTTGGTAATAGTTTTAGTATAATTTTTCAACTTTGTTTCTTTTTACGGGTTTATAAAATCAAGTAAATATATGAAAGCACTAAGCTCTTGTTAATTTTATCAGAAATTGATTATCGGTATATATTTTGTTAAATACATAGTAATGAGAGAGAGAAACAATTAATAATAAATTGCAGAAAACCGTTTCAAAAAAAAAAAAGAATGGTGTTCTGCCGAGACCAAAACTGTACTCTAAAGTTATTAAACCTACTGGGAAGTTTGTTTTTTATTATTATTTTTATTGTTATTATTTGTTAATAATACTGCGAATGAACAAAGCATCTTTTCGATATGTCAAAATCCTTTTATTTTCTTTAAATTGTGCGTTCTATTTTTGAAAATAAATTTTTAAGGTCAATTTAATTAAAATGCAATGGAAAGTTAATTAAAGTTAATACTAGTACAGTTTAAACAAAAAAAAAAACCAACTTTTAGGGATTGGTTACCATTAGGGCTGCGGCGTTTGGCGTATATACGTCTTTCCCGACGATACATTAAATGTCTTCAAGCCTTTCGGATACTTTTCTGAAGTTTCTTCGTTGGAAAGAGTAGGTAAAATCATACAAGTATCTCCTTGCTAAAAAGAAGAAAATGTTTAAAACTTCATTAGGCATAAATTTGGTTACAATAAAAAGAAGTGTACATTCCAATCTACTGGAGTGGCCAAGGATTCTCTTCCAGTTAATTGCATGGAATTGATAACGCGTAAAATGTCACTTTTAAAAAAGGAAAATATATAATTAAATGTTGCAAAATATGTTTTTTGTTGCAGAGTATATATTTGTTAAGGCATCTGTGCAAGAACGATTTCAAGCGGCAGTTAATGTTATTAAAGGCTTATCAAAACATGGTTAAAATTTGATGGCTTATATAAACAAGCAACTGAAGATCCTTCCAACCAAAATAAACCGAGAATATGGGATTAGCAGAAGACAATAAAGTAGCGTTGCCAATTTCGATTGGTAGGTTTCTTGTTCTTCTTATTTCTTGGTGTTGTTTTCTTGTCCTTCTTATTTCTTGGTATAGGTTTCTTGTTCTTGTTCATTTTTAGCTGTATTGCATGTAAAGTGATGGAATGTCGTGGTTCGAACTAAATGGGACGCTTGGGATAAGAATCGTCTTCTCAGTAAGGAAGAGGCTATGCAAGATCTTCAAGAAATGATAGAAGCTATGTCTTTTACGGAAAATGTGCAATACTTTTTTGGCAGTTTATCGGGATTAGAAAATATTAATTTGGGTGAATTGGATATCGTAGCACCTGACATGAAAGAATTAGCGGAATTTCATCCTAATTCACCGTTCAATTCACGTACCAATAGCCCCCATCATGGACGTGGTAATAACGCTGACGCTATTGCATCTGAAGTAAATCGTATAATATTTGTTTGTTTATAAATTTTTTAAAAGAAAAATAATTTTCAGTCCGTCATTGGCAGCCAGCTTTTAATTGAAGAACACTCGGAACAAATAACTGTGAACACAAACAAACAACGGTATACGCCTGGTGCCAGTTAACAAATCACAAATGACGTGAGCCACTTGTACCACATCTACTATTGAAAATCAAAGCGTGATAAATGGTAGCATCGATCAGTCAGATTATGAACACTTAGATTCTTTCAATGAGCAAAATGATTTCCACAAATCCTTACACGCATATTCTTATTCGATTTGCTTACCAGTTTCTTGAACTCGAGAATTCTTTTAGCAGAAAATGGCTATTGGCTCATCCTTCGGTGATGGAAAATAAGTAAAAACGATTTATATCAAATTCAAAAGTTTTTTGCCGAGTTTTATTTAAAACCTTGAAATCAACTTGGCTTGCGTGGGCATAATGCATGTTTCAGCAAAACATATTCAAACCCTTAGGAATGGTGCAAATCAGCCCACTTTTTCGATCACCTCCCTTGTCGTGCCACCCACCTTATTTTGAAAATTCGTTATATGAATAACTCCAGGATGGTATACGGTATTATAGTAGTATTGTTTAGAAAAAAGTAAAAGAGTGTGAAGAGCAAACGCATACATTTATACGAAGTTTTCAAATTCTATTCAATTTTATATTCCCGGAAATCCAAACAATTCTGACATGTATTCCCAACCAACAAGTGAATATCCGCCTTAGATTGTAAGCGAGGAATTCGTTTCCTTTTGTCAACAAGTTTGGGTTTTCAAATGGGGCATAGGCAATATTATATCTTATATCATACCATCATTTCACACCATCATTTCTGGAAAAATTTCCGGCTCTCAATAGCGTATATATATATATATATATCGTAATTACATAAGCTTTGCAAGACTGCGTTCTAGAGGTCTGATCATTCTAATATAACCAGATACTATTATGAGTTTGGACAAGCTTGTGCTTGAACAGATAATATGTCGTATGATACGCTTCTCGTTTTCTGTTAACAACATATATAACAGCTTTGGTCTCTCTACAGCTCTCATCTCTATCTAAAATGAACAATCAAATTGCCGCATTCCCGAAAAATCAAAGAGGTTTGACGTGGTGTTACCATATTTTGAAGGCATCTCTATTCTCAGCATATGATATTTTTCAAATTTAAAGAAAAAGAAAACCACCTAAGATTCATAGTAATGAAGCTGTAGATAAAAGTATTCCGTAAAGGACGTGTTGAAAAAGCCTATTGATGTTATTTCTCGTGTTTGCATTCGTGCTCAAAAATGCAGAAAGTTTGGTGAAATCCATTTCATTAATTAATTGAAGTTAAAATTTCCTTTTTAACTTATAATTTCAACGACATACATATTATAACCATATTATATCTACGATTGCTATGATAGGGTAAAATCGAATGCCACGCCTATAAAAATTGTATAAAACTATTCAAGAGACGTACAAGGGGAGATGAATTTATATTTTTGATACATTTATATA